GATTTTTTTAAAATAAGAATTATTATAAATAAAGTTTGCTTAAATAATATTTAATAATTTTAAATTCTTAATTAATTATTATTCTTTAATATAAAATAAATAATATTTAATAATAAGTTTATAAAGATAATATAAAAATATTTCCTAAGTATTAATCTTTATTTTAAGTTAAGAAAATTAACTAAGTTAATAAATTTAATAAAATAATATTAAGCCTTTTTTACTTTTAATTTCTTTAATATAAAAGGAATGCTTTATAAATATAAAAAATTAAAAACTTAATATATTATAACCTTTATAACTTAGCAACTTTTTAACTTTTAAAATATTATATTCTTATTTAAAAAATCTTTATATTATAATTATATTTTACTTAAGAAATATTAATAATATAAATTAATAAAAGATTATAAATTTATTATTATATTTATTTATATATTTAATTATTAAATAATAATAATTTTTAATAAAATAAAAAATTATTACTTATTATAAAATAATTTTATATTAAGAAATAAAAAAAGTAAAATAAATAAAAATGCTAAAGTATTTATTTATAAATATTTAATAATTACTTTAAAAGATAAAATATAAGATTTTAATAAAAAGTTTATATTAAAATTAAAATAAATTAATAAAGTATTTTATAAATAATATGTTATTAAGTTTATTAAAAATTATTTTAAAGAATATTAAGAAAAGAATAATTAAAAAGTATAAAATTAAGTTAAGACTTTTTTAATTAAAATTATATATTTTAAGATATTTAAAGTTATTATTAGCATTATTACTTAAATATTTACTATTTAATTAAAGTTTAATAAAATTAATAAAGCTATTTAAATATTTATATTAATTCCCTTTATTAAAATTAATAATATAAAAATAATTAAAATAAAAAGTAAGCTTTTATTATAAAGAAATATTATTTAATAATAATTATTTAAATTATAATATATTAAGATTATTATTAATTATAAAAAGAGTATAAGGGAAATAATATTTTTAATATAAATTAATTTAATAACTTAATTTTAAATATTTAATATATAATAAGGTATAAACTTTTAAATAGCTTAAAATTAGCTAAGTAAAACTTTAATTAAATAAGCTTTTAGCTTAATTATTATATTATAAGATATTTTAAAGTTAATAAAAAATATTTATTTTAATATATATAAGAATCTTTTTTACTTACTTATTTTAATAATAAATATAAATAAAACTTAAAGTATATTAATTAATTTAAAATAATTAAAATAATAATAAAGTTTATTTAAAAATAATTTAAAAGGCTTATAAGTAAGCTAATTAAGTAATTAAATATAAAATATAAATATTAAAAATAAAAATATTATAAAAAGTAAAAGTAAAAATAAAAACTTTATAAAAAGTAAGAATAAAAGTTAATAAAGTTAATATATTATACTTAATATAATAATTAAAAGAAAAAATAAATTTACTTTTTATTTTATAAAAATATTTAAATCTTTAATAATTATATTAATGCTAGTTATTAAAGTAAACTTTAATAATTAAAAAAATATAATTAATAAATATATTATTAAGTAAATCTTAAGAATATTTAAAGCTTTTAAAAAAAAGCAAAAGTTATAATAAAATAAATAAGTAAGAAATTAAAAATAATAATAATAATTAAGATTATAATAAAGTAAATTTTAAAAGCTAAAAGCTTAATTAAAAATAATAAAGTTTTATTTTAATAATCTTTATAATACTTATTATAAAGTATTTAAAAAAGAATATATTAATAAATATAAGGAATTATATAAGAAATAATATTACGTTAAATTTTAATTAATTATAAAAAGCTAGCTTTTATGCTTATTTTAAATATTCTTTTAAGAAATTAACTCTTTTCTTTTCTTATATATTTAATACTTTAATTAAGCTTTTTTTATTTTTAAAATTTTTTAAAATATTTATCTTTTCCCTTTCTTTAATTCCCTTTTATTCCTATCTTTCCTCTTTATTACGTTAAAGCTCCTCCTTAAGTTATCCTTAAGAGGGTTTAGCAGAACCTATCCTTATTTATTTAAGTGGCTCGTTTTCAATATATAAATCCATAATATAAATTATAATAATATATATAGCTTAATAACGCATTATAATAATTTAAAACTAATTATCGCTATTATTACCATAATAAGCTAATAGCTTTAATAATTTAACATTAAAACGGTATACTTACATAATTATCTAAAATATAATATTTATATATAATTATTATAAGAATATTAAATATTATTTAAAAATTAATAAATTATTTTAAAACTTCTTAATGCTTTATATAAACTTAAATAATTAAATTATAAATAATTTAATACTTTTAAAGAAGAATTAATTAAATATTTAATAAAAATAATATTTAATACTTATATTTTTATTAAAAATTAAATTATTATCACTATTTATATTAATAATATTCTTATCATTAAGAATTCCTTTTAAGTTAATAAATTTCGCATTAAGCTTATATAATATTTTAAATATAAAGATTTTAATTTTTATAAATACCTACTTAAATTAAAAATTATATAAATTAATAATAAAATTCATATTTCCTAAAAGGAATATACTTAATAAATTTTAAAATACTTTAATATATTTAATTATAATTAAAAATAAACTCTTATAAATCTAAATTTATTTCTATAATAAAAAGAACTTAATAATATTATAATAAATATAATAATATATTAATTACTTACTAAATCTATTAATTTTCTTATTATTAAAATAAAACTTAATCTTATATTTTTATATATAATGCTCTTAATATTTAATATAAAGCTTATAATTATTATTTAAATATTGTAAAGGAAATGCTTTAATATATTTAATATATATTAAATTATACCCTAAGATTTTTAAAATAAACATTATTATTTTAATTTACTATACTTAATATATATATTAATACTTCTTATAATATAAATTTAAATAATTTAAAAGCATTTAGCGGATATATATAACTGCTTAACGGCAACCCAATTACTTAATTATTAAAGCGTTAATTTATTATTATAAAATCTACTTATAAAATAAAATATATAATATATTTATTAGCATTATTATATCTTTATTAAATAATTTAAGCATTAAAAAATTTAAATATTAAAAATATTAAATATTTACTTATTTTATATATTAATAATTAATTAATATTAAACCTTATTTAAAATTATAAAGTTAACGTTTAATTAAAATATATTACTATTTATTATTACTTTATTTATAAAAAAATTAAAAAAATATATAATATTTATTATATTATATTTAAAGATAATTTCATTAATATTTATATAAAAGCATTACCTTGCCTTACCTTTAAAAAAGCTTATATAAGATTAAAATTAAGATAAATATAGGGTTTATATTACTAAATAAGCATTTAAATAATTAACTAAAAATAATATAAACGGAATATATAAATATTAAATAATGTTTATATAATGGTTTTAATATAAATTATAACGAAACATTTAAATTATATTTTTAGCCATTAAAACGGGATATCTCTTATTATCATTAAAATAATAATACTTGCGATAAGGGGTGTATTAAAAGGTGCAAGGATTATATACCCATACGCTAACGCTAGCCTATAAATAGGCTCCTTCTAAGCGTTTAATAACGGGAGATTTCTCTCCTTAACAACACAACAATTAACTATCGTTTGCTTCATTGCTTCATCATTATTTACATCTATCCACTCGGGGGGAGAGAGATGATCGATCAGCAGAACCCAGGCAAGCCAATATCCCAATGCCTCTCATCGCCGACCAGACTGCCATTGCCTCTTGGCATCACATAAGTGCGGGCGGCCGCCTGACGAATCTGGCACCGCAGTGCTTGGCGCTACGTTTCGCGATCAAGATGTTTAAGAAAATATTGGCCGTCTGAATTTCCACTGTTTTCTTTTCTTATTCCTTTTCCGGAGGCGTGGAAAGAGGTGTTGTGATCCTTTTTCCCAGCGTAAAGGTTGCCTACAATCTTCCCGTAGATACAGATACACTACCATATTGGCCTTCCCTCTTTTGGTCGAGGTAAAAATGCTGCGGAATTTGTCTTGAAGTCTACTTAATTACACATCTTCAATGGGTCCGGAGAATCCCCTCTCTTATTGACAGCTCTGTTTTGGCATCAATTACCAGTAATCGGGACTCGACAGTAAATAAGTCAATCATGTACGGCTTGACTTGGAAATTCTTGGGACACCTGCATGTTGTAATAACGGGCACCAGATAATTGGTGATAAGATAAAACAGAAAAAGACCAAATGAAAGCAGAGAGATCTCAGGTATACACTGAATTTGATCCTAGCTGACAAGTCTCATTATGTCGGCCTGCGGACGGGTAGTCACAGTGTGAGTGCTAGGAGGCTCGGTGGAACAGTCTGAAAGATGAGAGTGGTGCAATAGGATAGTGTCTCAGCGGGATCTTATGGCGCCTAGTGCAAAGGTGGTGTTGGTATGCCTAGGTGAAGAGTGTTCAGAAAAAACAGCGCTATATAATGATGTATCTGATCGGGTGGGAGCATCTGAGCCCAGTATCAGTCTGAGCAGCGAGCCGGTATTCCGAGGCTGAGACCGTCAATGATCAGTCCGGGGATGAGGCGATCAATCCGAGGCTGGCTGGCGATGCCAGTTGTGGGGATGGTAAGACCAACTCATCATCACCAATGGCAATCGATGACTAGGGGTCTGGACTAGGCTGATGCATCTGTATCATAACTCTCGTCTCTTGAGGGAGAGGATGCTGTAGCTGACAATCAATTGCGGGACGAAAGCTGAATATGGGTTCAAGAATCGAGCCATGCGTCAGCTGTTGTAGATATTGATGGAATAGCAAGCCTCAGGATATCTACAAAAGGCCGCTCATCCTCTTGCTCAAACTGTTCCCAGCATCTCGCTCCTTTGTATCCTCGTCAACTTACCAATCCAGATCAATACAGTCAATTTTTGCGTCTTTCCAATATGTGGCCCCCCAAGATCATCCTCGGCCTATTCGCTACGGCCTCTGCGCTTAATATTCACCTCTTCCTTGGTAGTGGTTGTACAGATACCATTCCTCACGTTGTTTGCACCAATGTGAACCCCGGGACCAAGTACAATATTACCGACATGGAAGATGCTTCTCTCGCAGAACTGGTATGTACCTCCCAAGTTCCAATATACTCTGAAGGCCGTATTGTAACAAAGCATTTTTCCATATAGTAAGTGATGATCATTACAGGAGAGGGATAGTTATAATCCCTCCCTAGTATCACCGTCCTCTCCATCACAGATCTTATTAACATCCCCACTACCTTTAGCCTTACACTCGCAGCAAACGGCCAACCCCCTATCGTTATCGATGAGAATGGGAGTCCCTAGGACAAGATTGGATAAGGAGTCCACTCAGTGCAGCTCCAGCTCTAGGACAGGTATTGAATTTGGTGGAGGTGACTAGATGGCAGGTCACTCGTTTCCTGGCCTGCGGCAGAGACTGTTGTTGCGCCTTTGCTGCGCTCGCCCTGTTTCCTTGCCTATCTATTCACTGCCTCAAAGGCACTTCATACTTCATCACTACCACTGGCCACTGTAGACGGGATTAAACAATAACCATATAGCTATCTGGGTAGTTAGTCAATAAATCCTTGATTGGCATCCTGACCTGAGCCCCTGCTTTCTTTCTGCTGCAATATGTAGCTGTGTGTTCGGTTGGGATAGTCGACAACGGGAGGACGCCGCGGATAGCAAAACACCAGGTCTCAATCCCAGGTCAAGATTGAGAGGAAATCGGTAAAACATACAAGGAGGTGCACACGTCTCGAAAAAGGTAAATTGTTCGTTCAAAGTGGGCGCTTTTTAAAGTTCATTTTTGGTTCCACAAAGTAGTGCCAAGACAATCTCCTACGGCACTCAGTCTACTTTATGAACAGTCCTGCGACTCACTTCCGAAACACGTCGAGTCACTCCATCCTCGGCACAGCAATAGACAGACCTCGCAATACGTTGAAGTGATACGCTGTGAGCTGAATACGAGCATATGCCGTCTAGCAGACGCCCAAGCGCCACTGCGGCTGCATTGGCTTAGCTTTGCCGAACGATGCCTTTTCGAAAGCTCCTAGGGCAAAACTATACCCCAGATGATGTAGAGTGCTTGGCACTCTAACCGCGTCAGCAGCCCGCATGGTTCATTTCCGTGTCATATGACAGCAGCCAATCCTCCGCCGAACCGTAGATGAATTAAGCTTTAAAGTTCACAGTTTCCTTTGTTGGGTCAGCACCCCGCCCATCCCGATGGGCCGGTCGCTTTGTCCCCTTTCCACGAGTCAGCGTACGCCCACCCAGCTTCCACAGTACGCCCACCCAGCTTCCAGCGTTGGCCCACCCAGTACAAGGAAATTGGCTGCATGCGCTATAAAATATTAGTACTGCGGGGTTATTAATAAAGCATAGCTATAGCTATCTCAGAGGGGTCCCATAGCTACCCCTCTATTTGCAACTTAAAAGTTACTTTTGCTCTCTGCCGCCCTCTGCGCCCTCTGCAGCCCTTTGCACCCTCTGCGCCCTTTGCGCCCTCTGCGCCCTCTGCGGCCCTTTGCGCCCTCTGCGGCCTCAGCGCCCTCTGCGGCCCTCTGCACCCTCTGCGGCCCTCTGCACCCTCTGCGGCCTCAGCGCCCTCTGCGGCCCTCTGCACCCTCTGCGGCCTCAGCGCCCTCGCGGCCCTCTGCTCCCTCGGGGCGCTCTGGGGGCTCTGGGCGCTCTGGGGGCTCTGGGCGCTCTAGGGGCTGCTTGTATTTTTAAAGTATTGCTTAAATTAGAAAATAGCTACCCTAGCTTCTTATATGCGGGGTAAACTTAGAAAAGTACCTAGTTTTATTAATATAATACTAAGAAAAGGAAGTACTGGGTGGGCCAACGCTGGAAGCTGGGTGGGCGTACTGTGGAAGCTGGGTGGGCGTACGCTGACTCCCTTTCCACTTACCTTAGCTACCTCTCCACCTGTGCACAGCTGCGAATTGCGATCTTCAAGACAATGTGAGCATCCTAATCGTCTTCGGACCGCCACCTTACACAAGCAAGATGTTTGCTGCAATCCGACGAAAATAATGAGCCGAAACCCGAGTCATCGTCGTACCACCTGAAGATTCGATTTGTGTTGCATGAGGCTTGGCTTGGCCAACACAACGGACCAAACCTTCTCAAATTCGCGTTTCGAACCGACTCTCGCCTCATCCATCCTTCTCTCCAACTTCTCAAACGGGCACACACGAATCGCCGCCCAGCATGAATCTCTTGATCGCCTTGGTGGCAGCAGTGGTATCGCTGTCCGCACACGTATCCGCCCAAAACTTCCAGCACTCATGTTATAGTGAGTCCAGCCGCTGTCTCATCCCGGTGACACAGGGTCTCTCAGGAGACGCGTGGTCGTAGGCGGACCAGAAAATCTGACAGGCCCGTCTCCTAGATTACTACCTCGACAACGGCGTAGCAGACGGCAGCCATGAGCTCTACCTCGAGGCGTTCTGCTCCGGGGGCACCGACGAGCAAGGGAACGAGCGGTCGCGGATCTGCACCAGGCTGAAGCTGGCCGACTGCTACAAGAACGTCAATGGCGCGCTCAAGGCGTATGGCGACGACGAGGAGCCGTCGGACAACCTGAGCCAGACGTGCGAGGTCGACAGCTGTGCCATCATGCGGGATTCCTGGGACGGGCCCATCATGACGTGCCAATGCCGGAATGATAATGGGGAGTACGTGGATACGACGATCGATATGAGTAAGCCTCAGTCCTGATGCTGCGTAACTGCCATTTGAAGATGTTTGTACTGACAATGTGTGCTGCAGACGCGGAAATAGGTAACGAGGGGGGTCTTTTGCAGTGTGGGGACCAGTATGGAAGTCTCACCTGTCCCGACTGGGGTCCTTACTCAACAACATTTTTACCCGAGGAGGACCTGTGATGACTGGGACCTCTGTTTTACTTAGCGAGCGATTACAGAAAAGCACAGGCAATAGATATGCTGTCATGGTACAAGTGCCTCAACAGTACTAAGATCTCTGTTTGCACCGAAGCAGTCTCATGAGCTACGATATTGTGACATGGAAGCCAACTTGTTTGGGAGTACTGGTCCCCGCCGCGATATTTACGCGCCAGTTCCATAGGAATGATGCATGGGTCACGCAGTAAAGCAGGAAAACCCTGTCTCGGCTTCTGTTTCTCTCCTCGTCAGCCCTCACATCAATTTTGGGCTTTTCTTCTTCTGAACACGGGCATTGATGCAGGATGAGAAATTCAGCCTACAAAAACGGGGAATTAGGACATAGCCATAATTGCATAATGTTTGAGGACGACATGGAACATGGTCAGGTCCTGTTCGCCGCCCTGGTATATAGTCTTTGTCCCGGACGAAGGCCAGTGTACTACTCAGAAATCACAGAACGGCGCACTAGAACGACTCCCCGCTCTGGAGCACGATTTACGTCTGTTTCTTGTTCACGATACCAGAATTTGGTGATGAGACTAGAACGGGACCGGCTTTGAGCACACCGACCAATAGATCAATCCCACGGACCTTGGGACGGCGACCAAATCCAGCACGCCAGTCACAGAGCCTAGCACATCGAGCGGTATTTGGACTACCTCTGTAGAGAAATGATTGCAAGCCGATGACGATTTGGCTGGAATCAGAAGCCTTCGGCCGTTCAGCCGCTTGCTCCACAGTCGACAGTCGTTGGAGTTTGCCAACTCGGTCGAGGCATCACCACACGCAGACGTCTTGGACCTCACAGACTGCGCAGGCTTTCAGCTAAGCCATGAATCTACACACAATTATAACACTGATACTATCTTGGCCAGCCTAAAACATCGCTTTTAAGGTATCGCAAGAACCTTGGTCACCCCAAACATGTCCGACATCTATCAACGAAAAGAATTCTACTCAGTAGCACTAATCATCAATCAACGTGGTTCTACCGAGACGTTCTTTACAGAATGCAGAGCTATCATCAAAACTCCTGGAATTTGAACTACAGAGGGCTTCGGAGTCGCCATATCGTAATCAGTCTGGTGAGTATTTTTCACATGTCTTATTGACCTACAATGTCTAATTGTCGGGATTAGTATAGCGACCCGAGCATAGAGGGAAAATTCTAGGTAGCTAAGACTTGAAAATTAAGGAGAGTACATGATTCCAAGTTTCCCGCTCGGGCATACTATTCTGGGCTGGCGTGATCACGAGGCTCCTTCACCGTTGGCGATAGCCACAGCAATCCAGAAGACCTGAGCCCCAAGGCCTAGTAGGCGCTAACTCGGCGCAAATGTTTCGGTGCAGATCAATGTGGAGGACAGATGGCTGGGCCTGTGACCCCGATCCAGGCCAGGCACGCTCACCAAGCGGGCGGAGCGGTCGAGGCTAGATCGCCAACGGCGGCTGGGCAGCGCGCAAGCGCAGAAACGAGCTCGGACGTTCGTGGCTTTAATCTGATTTATTGAATTGCTCCCGTGCGGCTTTTACTCTGGTGTCTCGGCAATCGTCCGACCACAGGAACCGCGATGTTTAGCTCATTTTCTCAACATCCAAAATTCATCACGATGCAATCTCAGCTGGGCTTGCCAAGAGGATTATACGAGGACGGGCTGTGAATAGGCACGCCGTTGATTCGGAACCCCTTAATGATTTCGCCGTTGGCCATCGTAAGTTAGGATCAAGAAACTTGGGAAGCTAGAGCGACGTACCATGGAGTTATAAAATGACACGAAGGAAGCATTGGGGCTCATGGGTTTGGTCAACATATTATCCCTTGAGTTCGTATTTTCTTCAAAAGTTGGTATTCATTCAGTCCGCCGTGAAGAACAACTGCCATATCAATTCCAACTCTCTCAGACATCAACTCAGCCTTCACCACACAAAACCACCAGAATGCAACTCTCAACGCTCCTCCTCGCATGCGCAAGCATTGCAAGCACGACTGTCGGAGCCACCACGATCGGGCTGAAAGGACTTGCCAGCAAAGAAGTCAACTTCGCCTGCATCAAGACACAGCCCGAGTACACGGCCCTCATGCCCAAGTGCGCACAGTACTGCCACGGGCTCGCCCTCACCACCAACGGTTGCGCGCGCGACGACCACATCTGCCACTGCAAGAACTTCAGCAAGACGGCGCAGATCATCGAGCCCTGCATATTCGGGCCCAACCCTGGTCCCGCCGGGCCCTGCACGAACGACGAGATTTCGCAGTTTGCTGGCATGGGCGCCAAGTATTGCACCTTCTGGAACCGTAAGCACCATCCTCCCCCTTTCACGGGCCCCCAATCTGTCATGTTTTGGAATGCTCCAGAATGCATCACTTTGGGACCCGTATCAGATGATTAACACGTACCAGAGACGGCGAACGATGCCATCCAGGGAAAGTTCAGGGAGAACGCGCTCACTTGCAAGATCAAGGGTATACTCGGTTGAAAGCCATGCATGGAGGTCACCCGTAAACGGTGCGATGAAAAAAGAATGGTTGTCTATTTACTTTGGCACAAGGATAAGCTGTGACTCTTTTGTATATCCCGTATTTCAATTCTCCTCATATAGGTTGGTCTTTGCGAATAACCCAGGAAAATAATTGTAATGGTTCATCCGTAACCATCAGAGCCGTCATCGCACGGCGACGCCATCAATTCGTCAGAATGTGTATGCCGAAATTAGTCACCGAAACCCGGCCAGCCTGTAACTGCTTTACCATTACCGACCACCAATCGAAACACCAGCCCAAGAATTAGGATGAAACGCCATAAGGTCGTAGAACCCAATGGTGATGGCCACAAAGAACACCCAGCGGCCGACCAGCGTAGCCAGGGCACCAGAGAGGCCCATGCCGGCAAATTGGTACAGCGTCGACAGCGTCAGGCTGACGGACCCGACCGTGGAGCCGAAGGCGCTCAGCCACGAGGCCTTCTGCCAGCTGGGCTTGTACCACCTCTCCTGCAGCCATATCAAGAGCAAGGAGTTGGCCACGACCAGCAGCACGAAGCCGATGAAGAGCGGCAGCTGGATGGCCAGGAGGATCCGCTGCGTGTCGCCCGGGTCGAAGAGTCCCGGGATGGTCGTGACGACAACGACGTTGAGGGCGACGAGACCCACCCAGTTGACGAAGCCGGCGCGGAAGGGGACCTTGGCCCACAGGGCGGCGAGGTCGTCCCTGGTCGGCAGCCATACCCATGATTTAGCGCCGAGAAGGGCGGGCTTATATGATTTGGGCGGCTCGAGGGCCCCGATCTTGATGTCGAGTGGCTCCATGGCGCCGCGGTGGGCGTTCAGGATCGCGACCAGGCCCAGCGACGCACCCATCAGCAGGAGGATGAGGCCGAAGTCGGTGGTAAGTATAGTGGCGGCGTTGATGTTGAACCCCAGGGTCTGCGGCGTTACCTTCTGGCCCCTGGCTTGTATCTGGGCCGTCACGACGCCGAAGGTGGCCGCGAGGGCCATCAGCGTGCCGCCGAGGGTGAGGAAGATCTTGACGACCCAGACTGCGTCTCGGTACGGGAAGATGGTGAACATGCGCCAGGCCTGATCCCTCACGCTGTGGACCTCGGGCTCCTGCTCCCAGACGACATCGAATATGGATTCTGGCTTGGTGGTTGCTTCTTGGGCGCAGTGGTTCTTGTACTGGACCCAGTTGACTGGGATGAAGCTTTGCCGGCGTGCGATCTTTTCTTGTTCTATTGCCAGCGGTGATTTTTTGTCCAAGTCGCCGTTGTTCCTGCGTCGAGCGCCCGGGGGCAGTCCCAACGGCTGGTCCAGGCCGTAGAGGGATGCCCTGTAGGCGACTGCTGCGTTCATGGTGGGGGAAATTGAAGGTCGTTCTTGAGCCCTGCTCACTTCAGCACGACTTCCACCCACTCCCTTGCTTCGAGAAGATCCACTCGCGCAGTGGCTCTTATTATTGTTGACAGCAGCATAGTGACTGAAGTAGATTCAACTGCTGAAAACGAAAACGTGGGGAGGTCAAAGCAGCAATTCAATGCCAAGCTCCGGTAGACACCAGATGCGTTTCTGGATACGCAAGATGACAGCGTCGTCAATGGTCAACATGGGCCGGAAACCAGGACTCCGTAATTCTATTATGGTCATCCTGGAGTTTTGTTTTCCTGGACGGGTTCGACTTGGCAGGCGCTCTTTGGTATCACCAGGCTGCGGGTACAATTGCTGATCCACAATGTGTCCGTTCCCCGCGGGGACGCTTTGAGCGCTGCTGGGAGCATCCACCATTGTGGAACAGCAAAAGACAGATTAGGAAGTGGTGGGTAAAAAAGACATCACTTGAAACACCGCAGATTCGCTTTGCAGCAGTGCTTATCTACAGCTCGGCCGCGTGGCAAGATGAGAAGTCCGATTGCAGGAGTACAAGGTTTGGCTTCGACGTTGAGTAAAAATTTCCTCAAGAAGAAATTGGTCTGAGAAAGACACAGACCGTGAATTTAGCCCGTCACAGGCCTTTTGCTCACCGAATACTTGAAAGTCCACCATGCTGTACCAATGATCCTAGAATATGTAATATTATCATTGTTTATCACTTTTACCGATGTGAGTCAGTATGATTTGCAATAACATTGTTGTTCAAAGTTTTCGTCCTCTTACCAGGATAAGGTCTCCGAAAATGCATGCCTTGACAGTCCCGCGTTTCCAAAGCTGTCGTCCTGTCTGAGGTGACGTCTCGAGGGTTAGGATTGACGCATAAGTTCAGGGTACTACCTTGTCTCCCATGCGTCCTGTCGTCGATCGGATCAGCATATGATCTGCGGGACTCGGGAACCATGAAGTGCAATTGTGCAGGATAGCCAGGCTCGCCAAGTGGCTGGAGTCCCAAGCACTGCTCTGCTGTCTTATCTCATGTAAGCTTCGGTGACTGCTTGGTCAATGGCGGATCTGCCCATGATGTGTGACAGCGGGCCGTGCCACTGAGACCGTGTGCGAGAAATCTTCGTCCCACCTTACTTGCAATGCCTATCCCCGTGCAAAATAGAGAAACGTGTCTTTGAAATGTGGACGGCAGTGTTCCCTTTATTGGGACTATGCAGTCCGAGTCTCTGCAGACACATATTCACCCATCGAGATACACCGCACCCCTACCGAACAGGCCGCTCCAGGCAACCCTCACGATTTCACCCACATGCAGGACCATGATGCTGTCCTCTTTTATCACGGATTGTCGAACGATTCCAGTTCTAATTCAGCCGCAACGATGTCTTACACCAACTCCAAAAGCCTCTTCTCTCCCCCGAAAATGGAAATGCGTTCATCCCACCAGGTTGACCCTCCAACATCCTCGCCAGAGATGCTGAAGTGGTCGATCCGTCTGTACGCGATCCTCCCTTCGTGGGGTACCCTCTCTACTACCAAACCCGCCCATTCTTGCCGCTCCTCATCCTCACTTAGAGCTACAATTAGACTCTGAGACCCCTCCACACGTATGACTTCGGTTTCATCAAGGTCGAGGTCAAAGTCCTCGCAAGCCCACGCTTCCGTGCGAGCCAGCATGGCGGGCTCGTTTTGACTTTGCCATTCAATTTCGGCGCAGTAAGCCCTGATAGATATGCTGGCGGAGGTGCAAGTACCAGTAGGGTTGGCATCGTTGGCCAGCTCAAGTGTGTAAGACACTGCATCCGCCAACTGTGGCAAGGGCAGACCTCCCCTACAGCCAAATACAGGACTATCCATGGATGCCCAGCTCCAACTAGGCGTGCGCGGTCCGTCGTCTTCAGCGCCTGGTTTCTCTGACCAGAACAATCTTGTCGCCTTCTCTGGATCCGAGCGCGGCGGTGGCGAATCCGTCAAGACCCAATTGAGACTTCCGGGTAAAGTCTTCCAGAAATGGCCAGCAATGTAAACATCGTTCATAGCTTTTCCGATATCATGTGCGATGGCCGACAGGGCCACTAGTTTGTCCGTCTTAGGATACGTTAGCTCTCATTTCGTATATTCGTGTAGCACACTCCACCACGTTTCCAACAACGCGTCGTTGGTTGACCCGTCAGGGACGGTTTTCTTCGTCAGACCGAAGAAAATTGGGCCGTTCGTCCTGATCAGATCGAGGAAATCTGGGCCTCGCGTCTCGATTTGTGTCGCTTGCAAGCCACCCGGAATCGACTCACTTGCATTGGGAAGCTGAGCACAGTCCCAAAAGAGCTCGCCCAGGCCAAAGCTGACCACGCGCGTGGCCATAACGCGCTCTTGCAACGCCCATGCTCGGTAGCCAGGCGGTTGCTCGTATACTGCGTGGTTGAAGTAATTCAGGGGCACCATAACAAGAGCATCATCATCCGGGTCCCGGTGATCCCTATCGGCATTGATTTCAAAAGGGGGCATGGCCGTCCTCCGCGTGCGTGCTTGGTTGAGTATGCTTTCATATGGATTTGCCGCGCAAGTAAGGGCGAGAGTAAGGATGCTATCCTACCAGGGGGAGGGGTTTTTTTTGTTAAGATCGCATCAATATATTAATGGAATAATGATATAATAATGATATGCAATTAAGGTTTTAATATGCTTTTTTTATATATATATTATGCATAATTTATATATTATTAATATATAATTATTCTTAATATATTGAAAACGAGCTACTTAAACAATAAGGATAGGTTCTGCTAAACCCTCTTAAGGATAACTTAAGGAAGAGCTTTAATATAATAAAAAGGGAAGATAAGAATAAAAGAAAGCTAAAAAAAGGGAAAAGATAAATATTTTAAAAATTCTTAAAAATAAAAAAAGCTTAATTAAAGCATTAAATATATAAGAAAAGAAAAGAATTAATTTCTTAAAAGAATATTTAAAATAAGTATAAAAGCTAGCTTTTTATAGCTAGCTGGAATTTAATATAATATCATTTCTTATATAATTCCCTATACTTATTAATATACCCCTCTTTAAGTACTTTATAATAAATATTATAAAAATTGCTAAAATAAAACTTTACTATTTTTAATTAAGTTTTTAAATTTTAAAATTTATCTTATTATAATCCTAATTATTATTATTATCTTTAATTCCTTACTTGCTTATCTTATTATAACTTTTACTTTTTTATAAAAACTTTAAATATTTCTAAGATTTACTTAATAATATATTTATTAATTATATTCTTTTAACTATTAAAATTTGCTTTAATAATTAATATTAATATAGCTATTTAAGATTTAAATATTTTTATAAAATAAAAAGTAAATTTATTTTTTCTTTTAATTATTATATTAAGTATAATATACTAGCTTTATTAACTTTTGCTTTTGCTTTTTATAAAACTTTTATTTTTATTTTTACTTTTTATAATACTTTTGCTTTTAATATTTATGCTTTATATTTAATTATTTAATTAGCTTATTTATAAGCTTTTTAAATTATTTTTAAATAAACTTTATTATTATTTTAATTATTTTAAATTAATTAATGTATTTTAAGTTTTATTTATATTTATTATTAAGATAAGTAAATAAGAAAGATCTTTATATATATTAAGATAAGTATTTTTTATTAGCTTTAAAATATTTTATAATATAATACTTAAGCTAAAAACTTATTTAATTAAGGTTTTACTTAATTAATTTTAAGCTATTTAAAAGTTTATACCTTATTATATATTAAATATTTAAAATTAAATTATTAAATTAATTTATATTAAAGATATTATTTTTTTTATATCCTTTTTATAATTAATAATAATCTTAATATATTATAATTTAAATAATTATTATTAAATAATATTTCTTTATAATAAAAGCTTATTTTTTACTTTAATTACTTTTATATTATTAATCTTAATAAAGGGAATTAATATAAGTATTTAAATAGCTTTATTAATTTTATTAAGTTTTAATTAAATAATAAATATTTAAGTAATAATATTAATAATAGCTTTAAGTATTTTAAAGTATATAATTTTAATTAAAAAAGCCTTAACTTAATTCCATACCTTTTAATTATTCTTTCTTTAATTTTCCTTAAAGTAATTTTTAATAAACTTAGCAATATATTATTTATAAAATACTTTATTAATTTATTTTAATCTTAATATAAATTCCTTATTAAAATTTTACATTTTATTTTTTAAGGTAGCTATTAAATATTTATAAATAAGCACTTTAATATTTTTATTTATCTTACTCTTTTTATTTTTTAATATAAAATTATTTTATAATAAGCAATAATTCTTTATTTTATTAAAAATTATTATTATTTAATAATTAAATATATAAATAAGTATAATAATAAATTTATAATCCTTTATTAATTTATATTATTAATATTTTTTAAATAAAATATAATTATAATATAAAGGTTTTTTAAATAAGAATATAATATTTTAAAAGTTAAGAAGTTATTAAATTATAAGGGCTATAATATATTAAGTTTTTAATTCTTTATATTTATAAAGTATTTCTTTTATATTAAAGAAATTAAGGGTAAAAAAGGCTTAATATTATTTTATTAAATTTATTAACTTAATTAATTTTTTTAACTTAAAATAAAGATTAATGCTTAGGAAATATTTTTATATTATCTTTATAAGCTTATTATTAAATATTATTTATTTTATATTAAAAAATAATAATTAATTAAAGATTTAGGATTGCTAAATATTATTTAAGTAAATTTTATTTATAATAATTCTTATTTAAAAAGGATTTTTAAAAAAGTTAATATTTACTTTTTAAATAAAGTTTTATTAATTTTAAATATTTATAATATTTAAAAATTATAATGCTTTATTAAGTAAGTTTTTAAAGTTATTAAAATAAGGAAGTTTTATAATTATTAATATTAAATTATTCTTTTTTAAATTAATAAATTTAATTATTAAAATTAAGATATTAGGGTTTTAAGGTATTTTATAATATAAAAGTAATTAAAATTACTTTTTTATCTTATCTTTTTAATTAAAAGATATTTTAGCTTTTAATTATAAGGAAAGAAGGTAAAGAAAATAAATAGTAAAATAAAAAGTAAGTAATAAAAGTTAAATAATAAAGAAGGGAGGTATAATAATAAAAAGAGCCTTATACTTTTAGGGATTATTATATAAGTAATTAAGATAAAGAAGGTTAAAAATAAGAAAGAAATATAATTAATATTTAGCTATAGCTTAAGGTAGCTTTTATAAATAACTATTACTTATTCTTAAATAAGAATTAAGTAAGGGAAAAAATTAATATATTAAAAGTATATTATTATTAAAATAATTAAGTAGCAGCTAACTTTTAACTTTTAATTAATAATAATATAAAGGTAAGAAGAAGAAGAAAAAGAAAAAGAAAAAGGAAGAAAGCTTAGCTATAAATAAATAAATATAATAATATATATAAGGTTAAAGTAATAAAAGTTAGTAACTTATTATTCTTAAGTTAAATAATTATATTAATTAAAAGGAAGGAGTAATAAGAAAGCTTATAAGTTATTATTAAAAGTAGTTTATTTATTATTTTATTAATAATTAAAGTAAAAGGGTATATAATTTCTTGTTTTTTTTAAATAATAATTAATTATAAAGTACTTTCTTCTTAATTTATAAATTTATTAAGTATAAATTAAAATAAGTTACTTAATTAAAATTTCTTTATAATAGAAAAATAAATAACTTCTTTATAAGCAAGGAATTAAAGGTAAGTAACTCCTTTTAAGTAATAAACTAACCTTAATTAAAAGCAAGGTAATAAATTACTCTTTTTAATAATAAAATAGCTTATTATTAATATTATTTACTTTCTCTTATTATAATAGCTTTATATATTTAAATTTCCTTTCCTTTCTTAAATTCCTTTTTCTTCCTTTCTTTTTTTAATATCCTCTTAACTTTAATTAGCCTTTAAATTAAATTAAAATTAAAGTAAAATATTATAATCCTTTTATTTTTAAATATTTTTTTATAATAATATCTTTATTATTAAATTCTTCTTAATTAAAGTTAAGAAGTTTAATATAAAAAGATTTCCCTTTCTCTTTTTAAGCTATTTATTATAACTTATAAATTAAGCAAGTTTTAATTAAAAGCATTTATACCTTCTTTAAGTTAAAAGGCATTCTTAATAAAGATTAGTTTATTAAAATTATTCTTTATAATGCTTTTATAAAAAGTATTTATATATATAAGATTATTAATATTAAATAAAATTAATACCTTATTTAATAACTTATTAATTTTATTTTTAAAAAGGTAGTTAAGGAATTATTTAATAAATTTCTTAATAAGCTATAAAAAGAATAATTTTTAAATAATATTAAGAATTTAATTAAAAGCTATATAAATATTATTATTATTAAGGAAAGTAATAAAGCTCCTTATAAAAAGTATATAATAATAATATATAATTACTTTAATTATTGCTATTAAGTAGCTTTACTTATAGCCTTTTATAATTATTAAAATGCTTTTCCTTATAAATGCTGCTTAAAGTGCATAAATTATAACTTTTCCTTAATTATAAATAGGAATGTTTTTATTATAATTCCTTTTTTTAATTATTACTCCTTATATAGTTTTTATAATAATGCTTATATTAATTATATTTATTATATTAAGGAATTTAATTATATTTTTAATAAATATAATAATATAAAGAAGGTATAAAAAGTAATAATAGCTAAATAAGTAAAGTTTAAGGATATGCTTAGCTTAATAATTATTATTAATAAAATGGCATAGCTAAAAGAAATAATTAGCTTTAATATTATTTAAAATAAAAAGATTAGCATTATTTAAAGTTAATAATTATAACCCTATAATGCAGAATTCTTATTATATTAATTATAAAAATAAGCTTTTAATAAGATATAAATAGTAATTAAAATAAAAGAAAAAAAGGGAAAAGTAAATTAAATTATTAAAAAGAAAAAGAAAGTTTTTAATTTTAATAAGAAAATAATAAATAAGTATATAATAAATTTTATAATGCATTTTTTAAAAATATAATATTTTATATTTAAACTTAAGGCTAAATTTAATTAAGTAAATAAATATATATAAAAAGAAATTTTATATTATCATAAATATATATATATATATATAAAAAAAGATAATTCCCCTTCTTTTAAATAAATACTTAAGCTAAGATTTAAAAGTATTATTAAGCTAATTATATTAAGAATATTAAGAGTTATTTAATTAAAGCAAAGGAATATTAATAAATTATAAGGATTTATTTCTTAAGTTTCTTTACTTTATATATAAATATATTATAAATTTAATATTTTAAATATTAAAGTTTATAAAATTTAATAAATTTAAGTTTATAAATAATTAATATATTTAAGCAATAAATAAAGATATATTTAATTAATCTTAATAATAATTAAAGTTAAGGTTATTTAAGATAAGG